CTCGGTTATTGCCATATTTTTTGACCTTGAGAAGGCATATGACACAACTTGGAGGTATAATATTTTGGCCCAAGCCCACTCCTTAGGCCTCCGAGGCAATCTACCATCCTTCCTTAAGAACTTTTTAACTGACAGACATTTCCGTGTTTGAGTCAATGTGCTTTCCCCGGACTTCGTCCAAGCTGAAGGTGTCCCTCAGGGATGTGTTCTGAGCACAACACTTTTTCTCCTTGCTATAAATGATTTGGCCTCTGTTCTTCCACTCAATATTTGGTCATCACTGTATGTTGATGACTTCGCTATTGCTTGTGCAGGCGCTGACTGTCATCTCATTACAGTTTCTCTCCAGCATGTGGTCGACCGTGTTTCCACTTGGGCCACCACGCATGGGTTTAAATTTTCCAGTACCAAAATTCACCAAATTACTTTCACTAGACGCTCTGTCATCTCCGATCATCCTGTATATCTCTATGGCTCCCGTATCCCCGAACATGATACAGTCAGGTTTCTAGGCCTTCTCTTTGACCGTAGGTTATCCTGGAAACCTCACATTACCTCTCTGAAGGCAACTTGTCACAGCCGGCTGAACCTTCTTAAAACCCTTGCTCATCTTTCCTGGGGAGCTGATCGTCGAACTCTGCTTTGCCTACATTCAGCCCTCATTTTATCGAAACTCTATTATGGTGACCAGATTTATTCAGCGGCCTCTCCTGCTACTCTCTCTAGCCTTAACCCCATCCATCACCAAGGATTACGTTAATGCCTTGGTGCTTTTCGCTCTTCCCCTGTTGAGAGCCTCTATGCAGAAGCGAATGTTCCATCCTTGTCTGATCGCCGTGATGCCCATTGCCTTCGCTACTATGTACGCTCTCACGATCTCCGCAATCCTTCCATTTATAGAATGGTCACCGATATTAGTAGACATTCTTTATTTGTTCGCCGCCCCTGTTTGCTTCATCCCTTTTCTCTTCGCCTACATTCGCTCTTGTCTTCCCTTCAGTTACCACCTTTACATGTTCATGTAGCATCTCACTTTTCCGCACCCCCCTGGGAAGTTCCAGCTGTTCGGGTCTGTTCTTTCTCACTCTCTTGCTCGAAAGCCCAACTGCCTATGGTGGCTTCCCACCTTTCTTGATCACTTCTACTCTCATTCTCATGCCATCTCTGTGTACACAGATGGCTCTAAGTCTTCAGACGGTGTCGGATTCGCAGCAGTGTTTCCGGACAGTGTCGTTTGAGGGCATTTACTATCTTCGGCTAGCATTTTTACTGCTGAATTGTATGCCATTCTTGCAGCACTTATTCGTATCGCATCTATGCCCGTGTCATCATTTGTGGTAGTCTCAGACTCCCTTAGTGCTCTACAGGCTATACGAAAATTTGATACACCTCACCCCCTAGTTCTCCATATCCAACTTTGGCTACGCCGTATCTCTACCAAGCACAAAGATGTTTTTTGTTGGGTCCCTGGTCATGTCGATGTACAGGGCAATGAACAGGCAGACACTGCTGCGCTGTCAGCAGTACATGACCTACCAATTTCATATAGAGGTGTTCCATTTCTGGACTATTTTGCTGTAATAGCTACCCACCTTCACACCCGTTGGCAACAACGTTGGTCAACTCTGCTCGGTAACAAACTTCATTCTATTAAACCGAGCATAGGTTACTGGCCGTCTTCTTGTCATCAGTGCAGAGGTTGGGAGACCACTCTCTCCCGCCTTTGCATTGGCCACACTCGTCTCACTCATGGGTATCTCATGGAGTGGCGCCCTGTTCCTCTCTGTGAGCAGTGTCAAGTTCCAGTATCGATTAGTCACACTCTGTTAGACTGGCGCCTCTATCAACGAGCACGCAGAATTTACCTCCAACGTTGTCTCCGCTCTACTACTCTCTCTTTACCTTCTCTTCTTGCTGATGGACCCTCCTTTAATCCTGACTCTCTCATTGACTTCTTGACAACGACTGATTTACTCCACAAACTCTTATGATGATACCTTTCGCACTTCCCTCAGCCCTTTCTAGCTCAATCTCTTGCTGTCCTTTACCCTTTCACCATCCACTGCCCCGCTGTTCTCCGTAACCTATTACTCATCCATCTCCCTTATGCCACCTGATGCCCTCGCTTCCTTTCTGCCCTGCAGCGCTGTATAGCCCTTGTGGCTTAGCGCTTCTTTTTGATTATTATAATAATGACCCTGACTGGTTTAGCACTTAGATATGATTATAAGAATATCGGCTCAGGTATCCTGTGGAGATTCAAATCCTCCAGTGTTATACACTAACCTTAAATGCTTGTGGCTTAATTGGTAGGGGAGTCGGCTTGCACTGAAGTTCGATCCCTGAACAAGTGGAAATTAGTTTCCTTTCACCCAATTACCCTGTGTACCTAGCAGCATAAAAGTACCCTTGATTTTTTTTAAATCGTGCACGATAGCTTAGTTGCAGGGGGTGCGGCTCATAATGGTTTGGGGATCAAATCCCCAGCAGGATGAATATGGGGGGAAGGGGAGGGTGGAAATTTAACGTTCATATGGCTGGGGTTCCATTCTCTAAAGTCTCGTCTGAAATGTCACAAGATAAGTCCCTTAATGGGGATTGTGTTCCAAAGTTTGGAACACAGCTGTCAATCAGTTCTTTAGTGTATTCAAAGCAGGAAGTGTTTTGCAGGGGTATGCAGATGTCTGGGTTTCATGGGCATTGCATGGGGTAGGATGACATGAATTCTCCCACAGAATTGGTCTTGGAACTTTGCCACAATGGGGTGCAGGAGCTTTAAGAAAGATGCCTATGGAGACGACGTTCCTGGTTGTGTGGTGCGAGGTTCTTGTATACTGTTTCTCCAGTAATATTCCAGGTGTTAACAGCTGTGAGAGCTGGGTAGACATCTACAAAGTTAATTACACAAGCTATCAAGTGGCATCTTATATGATAGTCTAGTGGTGCTAATAACCTCGTTGTTGAAGTGTCTTAAGCAGAAATGGAAAAGCACCAGCATTTTTTTTTCTCTTGTTACTATAGTACCACATCTGTACAACTCCAGTTGTAGATATGGGACTTGTGTGCCTCTTACTTATCAATAACCCCTCCAAGGAGGTTCCTTGATGTTGGTGAGAGGCTCTTGATCTAGGGAATTGGATCTGCTCCAATTCCCTGAATGCCTTCCATCCCCCACCCACAGGCACTGTATAATCTCTACAGGTTTAGCACTCCATGATAATATTTATCAATAATTTCTGTTTAAATTGGCTGTGAATGTTCAGATCAGACTTAATATCACGTATTTTCTTCGTTGAACTACAAGCATTCTGTACCTGGCATGAATTACTTCTTGTGTATATTGTTACTTTTGAGAGATTAGCAAAATTATAAACTTTGGGATGTGCAGAACGTTAGGGCCAATCACAGTGAACAAAGATGAGTAAAGAACTGTGCGTCAGACCCATATCTATTGTTGGCAGAGTAATGTTATTTTTGATTCTTACTTGAATAAAATGCTATTTCTTCAACATAACCAGCCTAGTATTGAATGTCTTTAGGAATAAACTGACTAAACAATGACCAGATTGCCATATTTCTTTTAATAAACCCGTACTGACCTTGACCCTTTTTAATCATAATAATCACAGGAGGAAGTTGATGTTTAATGGAAGGTCCCTTAGGGGAGGAGGGGGGGAGGTCTCGTGATACTCTAAAGAGCTCTTGATCCAAAGAATCAGAATTTCACCTTTGATCAAACCTAATTACTTCCGATTCCCCAGGCACTTTATGACCCCTATGGGTTTAGCACTCTACAAATATAATTAATCCAAATATAGACAGCACTGTATGACCTCTATGGGTTTAACACTTATGATTGTAATAATAATGAAAATAGAAACTAATAGGCAGGATACAGTAGAACCTCAGTTTTCAAATTCGTTCCAGATGTCGATTCAATGACAATCAAAGCAATTTTTCACAAAGATTAACGTAAATAGAATTAATCCGTTCCAGACCCCAAATAAAATAATATATTAATAATGGGGAGACAGGCACAGTGTCTACCTACGGAGGCTTGCAGGACCTGGAGTTTACCTGGAGAGAGTTCCGGGGGTCAACGCCCCCGCGGCCTGGTCTGTGACCAGGCCTCCTATGTCTAGCTCTTATACAATGTCATACAGATTATTCTTGCTCTTCATAGTACTCTGCCTTAACAAAATAATTTAAGAATAGGCTACAAATCACCCAGGACAAAATGGTGAGATTCATTCTGGAGCTGGGTCCAAGAGAGAATGTAGGCCAGAATGAATTACAACGGGATATGCTGCATGTTGAAGACAGTAAAACAACTAGCTAAATTATGTTTATAGAATTGCTCACATCTAGTGTCCAGCATAGCTTGCTGCCAGTTTTGTTACAGCTGGGAACCAAATCAATTACAATACTTGGGGAAGGGTGAACAACTTTGCAATACCTACAGTCAGTGGTCAGGCTTTCAACACATTTTACTGCACATCAGTTAAGGAGTGGAATAGACTACCTGCACATGCCAAAGCCTATCACAGCATCAGCTAGTTCAAGAAGAACCAAAAGGTATGTAATGTGGGTACAGGAAGGGAGAAGAGTGATTTCTTGTATACCTAACATACATGTACTATGACCTGATCCTAAATAACTGAATTTACCTTACCCCTAGTATATCTCCTTTTATTATGATTACTTTCCACATGGTAAATCACTTACCTGTTTTAACTTGTAAATTATAATTATCATAAGGGCTCCAGTGGAAATAAGTCACCTAGTCTGACATTTCTGGGTTAACCTGGGTAATCTACACATATGCTGCTATGCATGATAATTTATGTAACTGTATTTGTGTACCTGTACCTAAATAAACTTATTAACTATTACATAAAACGACGTATAAAATTACACAGCACGGGTAAACTGTAAAAATGAATACTAAATGAAACTAAGTGAAATACTGTATAGCATGTGAAAAATTAACTGCCCCTTACCTGTCAGAGGTGGTAATGGCATATTGGAAGATGGAGTTGGAGAGGAGGGGGGGAGGGGGGAGTTACCGGTTGGAAGAAGAGTCACATATTAATGTCAGGAAACTGTGCTTCTGGTGTTCTCTTCTCTCTCTCTCTCTCTTTCACCACTAACACCTTGTTCTGGGTTACTGGTTCTTTGTCTCACTAAAAACCTGTCAAATGGGGTTTGTTTCGGGCTCCGTTTTAACTTGTCTAAAGTGAGACTTGACTCTGTCACTATACATGACAGATGGCCACTGCTTTATCTGGATGGTATTTTCCAGCAAACTCCTGCACTTTACGCCATTTAGCACACATTTCCTTGACAAATGCAATGGGCACATCATCCCTCCCCCCCTCTTCCTCTGACAGATCTTCTGCTGCTCCTTCTGAAGGTCTACGAGAACTTCTGCGGTGAGTTCACTTGTGTTCCTCCACCAACTCCTTCACATCATGTTCAGTTGCCTCTACGTCCAAGGTCTTCCCCAGGGGTACAAGGTCCTCCCTAGGGGTACAAGGTCCTCCCCAGGGGTACAAGGTCCTCCCCAGGGGTACAAGGTCCTCCCCAGGGGCACAAGAAACTTCCCAGGGACAAAAGGACTCCTTCACATCATGTTCAGTTGTCTCTAAGTCCAAGGTCTTCACCAGGGACACAAGGTCCTCCCCAGGGACACAAGGTCTTCCCCAGGGACACAAGGACTCCTTCACATGTTCAGTTACCTCTAGGTCCAAGGTTTTCCCCAGGGGCACAAGGTCTTCCCAGGGACACAAGGTCCTCCCCAGGGGGACAAGGTCCTCTACTGGCTCATCTAAATAATCATGAGGGAGCGCTAAACCCGTGGGGATTAGACAGCAGCATCTGTAGGGAAGGGGATGGAAGGTATTCAGGCTCAATTCAGGGAACTGCAGCACAAGATCCAATTCCCTAGATCAAGAGCCCCTGACCAGCGTCGAGGAACCTCCCCTCAGGGGTCACCCTGAGGGTTAAATTTGTTCTTCCACATCCACCCCCCCAGGCGCTGTATAACCCTCCGGGTTTAGCGGTTCTCCCTTGATTATAATAATCCGAAGTGACCTGAGCCTCTGTCCCATTCCGCTGTATGACCCTTGTAGATTTAGCGCTTCCTTTTGATTATAATGACTATCCCATTCCGTAAACGCGAAAACTCGTCCGTCGACATCCAAGAGAACGTACGAAAACCAAAATATTTTTTTCCCCCTCAACACGACATTCAAAAACCGATTTATCTCACAAGTAACCAATCCAGGTCCAACTATATTACTTATTTTGAAAAATCTGTACACCTGGAGAGGGTTTCTGGGGGGTCAACGCCCCCGTGGATCTGTTCGTAACCGGGGCTTGTGGTAGATCAGGGCCTGATCAACCGGACTATTACTGTTGGCAGCAGCACGCAGACCGACGTGGTACTTCTACCTCGGTTGGTCAGGTACTGACGTCAGGTCTCCCTCCCGCGCCTTTTTTGAGGTGGGGGGTTAGAGCTTTTCTAATTGTAATTATTTTTTAAAACAACTTTATCCAATGCTAATAAAGCAGTTGAAATTAAAATAGTGCATAATATAATACCTATAATATTCTGCTGTCGATATTAAATAAAAATATTTATAATCACTGGAGTCTTAACAATGGAACATATAATAAATCAGACCTAAACAATTAAATGAGTATTAATGACCCTTGTGGGTTTAGCGCTCGATTTTGATGATAATTTGATAAACGAATATTAAAATTAAACTTTTTTGTTAAAATTGTGATTTAAAGCTTAGTTGTAAATAATAATTTGCGATTCTTTATAATAATAATAATTTCGATAATAATATGCAAGAAAAATGTTAAAGAGAAACAATTCTATGTAACAACGTTTTAATATATATTTTTTATGTAAAATTTTGAGTTAGATCATAATGGCGTCAGTTGGTGGTAGTCCAGTAATATTATAATTTATGGACGAAATGCATCAAGAAGCAGACTTACGTATTATTTCTGGTCAGTATTATCTCTGGTCAATATTATCTCTGGTCAGTATTATCTCTGGTCAGTATTATCTCTGGTCAGTATTATCTCTGGTCATTATTATCTCTGGTCATTATCTTTGGTCATTATCTTTTGTCAATATTATCTTTGGTCAGTATTATATCTGGTCAATATTATCTTTGGTCAGTATTATCTCTGGTCAATATTATCTTTTGTCAGTATTATTTTTGGTCAGTATTATCTGGTCAGTATTATCTTTTGTCAGTATTATCTCTGGTCAGTATTATCTCTGGTCTGTATTATCTCTGGTCAGTATTATCTCTGGTCAGTATTATCTTTGGTCAGTATTATCTTTGGTCTGTATTATCTCTGGTCAGTATTATCTCTGGTCAGTATTATCTCTGGTCAGTATTATCTCTGGTCAGTATTATCTCTGGTCTGTATTATCTCTGGTCTGTATTATCTCTGGTCAGTATTATCTCTGGTCAGTATTATCTCTGGTCTGTATTATCTCTGGTCACTATTATCTCTGGTCAGTATTATCTCTGGTCAGTATTATCTTTGGTCAGTATTATCTCTGGTCTGTATTATCTCTGGTCAGTATTATCTCTGGTCAGTATTATCTCTGGTCAGTATTATCTCTGGTCAGTATTATCTTTGGTCAGTATTATCTCTGGTCAGTATTATTTCTGGTCAGTATTATCTCTGGTCAGTATTATCTTTGGTCATTATTATCTTTGGTCATTATCATCTCTGGTCAGTATTATCTTTGGTCAGTATTCTCTTAGGTCAGTATTATCTCTGGTCATTATCTTTGGTCAGTATTATCTCTGGTCAGTATTATCTCAGGTCAGTATTATCTCTGGTCATTATCTTTGGTCAGTATTATCTCTGGTCATTATTATCTTTGGTCATCATTTCTGGTCAATATTATCTCTGAGCATTATCTTTGGTCATTATCATCTCTGGTCAATATCATTTCTGGTCATTATTATCTCTGGTCATTATCATCTCTGGTCAATATTATCTTTGGTCATTATCATCTCTGGTCAATATTATCTCCGGTCATTATCTTTGGTCAGTATTATCTCTGGTCACTATTATCTCTGGTCATTATTATCTCTGGTCATTATTATCTCTGGTCATTATCATCTCTGGTCATTATCTTTGGTCATTATCTTTGGTCAGTATATCTCAGGTCATTATCTGTGGTCATCTCTGGTCATTATCTTTTGTCAGTATTATATCTGGTCAGTATTATCTTTGGTCAGTATTATCTCTGGTCAGTATTATTTCTGGTCATTATCATCTCTGGTCATTATTATCTCTGGTCATTATCATCTCTGGTCATTATCTTTTGTCAGTATTATATCTGGTCATTATTATCTTTGGTCAGTATTATCTCTGGTCATTATTATTATAATCAAAAAGAAGCGCTAAGCCACAAGGACTATACAGTATCTCTGGTCAGTATTATCTTTGGTCAATATTTTCTCTGGTCAGTATTATCTTTGGTCAGTATTATCTCTGGTCAGTATTATCTTTCGTCAGTATTATCTCTGGTCAGTATTATCTTGTCAGTATTATCTTTGGTCAGTATTATCTCTGGTCAATATTATCTTTGGTCACTATTATCTCTGGTCAGTATTATCTTTGGTCTGTATTATCTCTGGTCAGTATTATCTATGGTCAGTATTATCTATGGTCAGTATTGTCATTTATGGTCAGTATTGTCATCTCTGGTCAGTTTTGTCATCTCTGGTCAGTATTGTCATCTCTGGTCAGTATTGTCATCTCTGGTCAGTATTGTCATCTCTGGTCAATATTGTCATCTCTGGTCAATATTGTCATCTCTGGTCAATATTGTCATCTCTGGTCAACATTGTCATCTCTGGTCAGTATTGTCATCTCTGGTCAATATTGTCATCTCTGGTCAGTATTGTCATCTCTGGTCAATATTGTCATCTCTGGTCAGTATTGTCATCTCTGGTCAATATTGTCATCTCTGGTCAATATTGTCATCTCTGGTCAATATTGTCATCTCTGGTCAATATCTTCACAACAGAACTACAAAGTACAATATTTGCCCCCATCTTTTTCCTCATCTTAATATCTAACATAGACAAAGATGTAAACCATAGATAGCTCTGTGTCTTCTTTTGCAGACATTACTAAAATTTGTATGAGTGTCGTCCATTAAGGACACTAAATCTCCTAGTGGATACAAACCAAGTTTTCCAGTGGGCCGCAAAAAAACGATATTAAGTTCAAATGGGGGCGAAATTTCAGTTACTTAATTATGAAAAACTTGAGGAAATAAAGGATAAAATGGAGTATAACACAAATTCTAGCCACACAATAGAGTAAAAAGCTAATGTGACTTTGGAATGATAATGTCAAAAGATCTTTACTTCAAGGATCACAACGATGTCAGTGTCACAGCTACGAGGACAGCGCTGTATGACCCTTGTGGGTTTAGTGCTTGATTTTTATAATAATCATAGCGAGGAAAATGATAGGATGGATAATGAGAACCTTTAAAACAAGGGATGCCAAGTCAATGATAATCCTCTTGAAGTCACTTTATTTTCTCTAGACAGGAGTATTGCTGTGCACTAACAGCCCCATTCAAAGCAGGTGAAATTGCAAATCTGGAGACTGTACAGAGAACCTTCGCTGCACATATAAGTTCAGTCAAGCACCTCAGTTACTTGGAATATTTGAAGTTCTTTGACCTGTATTCCTTGAAACACAGATGAGAAAGATGCATCATAATTTACTTTTGGAAAATCCTAGAGGGACTCATCCCAAATCTGCACACTGAAATCACTTCCTATGAAAGCAAAATACTCAGCAGACAGTGCAACCTTTCCCCCTTTTGAAAAGTAGCGATGCTGTGAGTACGCTAAGATAAAATAGAGTTGGGGGAGGTTCATTTCTATTCAACAGCCTCCCATCATACAAAACAATTACTAATAGATCCTTGGCTGTCTTCAAGAAGGAACTGGATAGATTCCTAAAGTCAGTACCCAACCAGCTGGGCTGTGGTTCATACGTTGGATTGTGCGAGGCCAGCAGTAACAGCCTGGTTGATCAGGTCCTGATCCACTGGGAGACCTGATCATGGACTGGGCCACTTGGGTGTTTACACCCAGAACACTTAGATGAATCAGTATTATCACCTTGATGTAATATTGGATCAAATCTGGTTACCTCCCTTTCCTCAGGTGCTGTGTGTAACTTAAGCATTTAGCACATCACCATAAATATAATTCAGTACTAATTTGATCATGTAAATCCCCTTGGCAGCCTTGTATGCCCACTTGACAGTCTTAACTAACCTGCTTGGCAGCCTTATAAGCCATTTTTGATAAAAGCACTGTATATTAAGAGTTACATTAACAATTTACAGACTGTTTAGTACATTCTGTTCAATGCAGAAGACAGCACATCACCCTGGGGGATAAAAACATCAGTGCAGGGGACAGCACATCACCTTGGGGGACATAACATTAATGCAGGAGGCAGCACATCACCCTGGAAGCAAAAACATCAGTGCAGGAGACAGCACATCACCCTGGGGGGCAACATCAATGCAGGAGACAGCACATCACCCTGGGGGGCAACATCAATGCAGGAGACAGCACATCAGCTTGGGGGCAACATCAGTGCAGGAGACAGCACATCACCCTGGATTCAAAAACATCAATACAATAAACAGCACATCACCTTGGGGTGCAACATAAATGGAGAATACAGCACATTACCTGGGGGGTGGGGGGGAAGCATCATGGATTAAATATGCCATGATATTTTTTAATACAAAAGTATATTTCATTATTACTGAATAATATAGTACAGGCTCACCACTGATTTTCTGGCACCCCTGGTTCCAAAGCTTTACCGGATTAACCATTTTGTCAAACCAACAGTGATAACCTTCTTCATCACACTCGAATCCTGTGCGTCTCTAAAGCACCATGTACTGTTACAACCTTAAACTAAACAAATATTAAATGTAAATTAAATAATTAAATTAAACAATATTTTTTTCGACAAGAAAATTTATTTATGCATCTGGAAGTTGAGAGTTGTGATGATTACTGTTTCCTAGTTGATCATTTCATCTTGCATTTCTGATGCTGCAGGTGTGACATCCGGGGTACTTGAAGTTGAAGCCACAGGACACATTCTTTTTGGCTACACACACCTCCATCTGTGGGCTGCCTAGTAAACTGGTCTGGCGGGTGCAGGAATTTCAAGTTCTTGCTAGTAATTTTATCCAAGCTAAAGGAGGTGCCGAACTGTCCATTGCCGGAAAATTGGTGGTGTACCTGTACATATCTTTGTATTGTTTTCCTCCAGATCATGGAAACTCCCAAGGAAGAACCAGAGATGCAGAGTCACACGGTACAGTATGTTCTTCATCAGTTGTCTGTGTTAATTTGAGAGAGAGAGCATTATTTTGAGTTTTCATTGCAGCAAAGAGTAAAGTGCGGAGACATTTAAAGTATAGTGTAACTAACAGAATTAATGGTCCTCTTTCCCATCCCCCCAAAAAGAGCTTAAGAATATTTTCTTTGTAAATTTCTCATGGTTATAGCATGCATGACCTTCCTTTGAGTACAGTTTCCCTCTATTTTGTGTTCTTTTGCATTATACATAGTATTGTATTATTTATATCCCCTTAAATTGTAAATTAGCCTTTTATAAATTTGTGTGTGATCATCATGACTCCTTTCCCCTACCTTCCAAAGCGAACATCTCCACAATCATTCTTTGTGTTAATTTTTTTAATTTTGTTATCTGTTTTGTTCACTTTGAGTTTCCCTTTTATAAAAACTGTATTTATATGCAGACACTACACCACAGCCAGTTGAAGTATAATAATGCAAGTCTAACATACAGTGTTTTTGGAATTGCCTAAAAGCTTGTTTACAGTACAGTGGACCCCCGCATAACGATTACCTCCGAATGCGACCAATTATGTAAGTGTATTTATGTAAGTGCGTTTGTACGTGTATGTTTGGGGGTCTGAAATGGACTAATCTACTTCACAATATTCCTTATGGGAATAAATTCGGTCAGTACTGGCACCTGAACATACTTATGGAGTGAAAAAATATCGTTAACCGGGGGTCCACTGTATTTAGTAAACGACATTACGTAGACTTGGCAGACGATGCAACATCCCCCCAATGAAAAGCAGGGGTGTCACTAGCACGTTAAGAGACCATACAATAAGTGTCAGGGGCCCAAGACTGTTCAACTGCCTCCCAGCATACATAAGGGGGATTACCAACAGACCCCTGGCAGTCTTCAAGCTGGCACTGGACAAGCACCTAAAGTCGGTTCCTGACCAGCCGGGCTGTGGCTCGTACGTTGGTTTGCGTGCAGCCAGCAGTAACAGCCTGGTTGATCAGGCTCTGATCCACCAGGAGGCCTGGTCACAGACCTGGCCGCGGGGGCATTGACCCCCGGAACTCTCTCCAGGTAAACATTTATTTAATTCCATGGAAGTAATCTGTTGTATATAATTAATGTCTTTTCTTACACATGCTCTTAACATTATGTTTTACATTCTATATTCAAAATGTGATCTGTTACCATTTTCATTGTTGTCCATTACTGAAATGGTAATGGTAGAAATGTACCTTGTGAGCAAGGTAATATTGTGTGAAGAGATTTAGGGAGACCAGTTAGCCAGGCTTGAGTCCTGGAGGTGGGAAGTACAGTGCCTGCACTCTGAAGGAGGGGTTTGGGATATTTGTTATTTATTGCAACGTCTGAACTGTCATATCTGTGCACCTCTTGCAAGACAGTGATAGTGTGAATGATGGTGAAAGTGTTTTATTTTTTTGAGTCACCCTGCCTCAGTGGGAGACGGCTAGTGTGTTAAAAAAAAAAAGTGTGTTAGCCGATTGCTGTAGATCTCATAAAAGGAAAGAATTTTCTACGCTGGGCAAAATGCCCAGGACATACTGGAATCATCCAAGTATCACATAAGACGTATGTGCTCACTGGCGTATAAGGTCACTGTGTCAAGAATAAGGTTACTATATGAAATTCTGTGAAGTTTGAATAAATGGTTTAGAAAACTGACAAGTTAATAAATGAAACACCTGTGTGACACTTGGGTATCTTCATCCTGGAACTGTTTCACCAGTCAGTGACTTCTTCAGTCGAGTGCCGAGAAAGATGGAAGACAAGGAGGAATTTGAAGTAATCAAACTCCTCCTCCTTATCTTCCATCTTTTTTCTCTGTATTGTACTAAAGAAGCCTCTGGCTGGTAAAACATTTCCAGAATAAAGATACTTAAGTGTCGCACAAGTATCTTGTTTATCATTCTGTGAAGTGTTGACATTCAAGTATTTCAGCTTTATACTCATAAATAACCAGAACTGGAAGTTTTGTATTTCTCATTCTAGATTGAGAATTGTTATGGGTCACGTAAGCTGGCCTACATGATGCTAAGTGGCAGAAGAGAGCATGGTATATTTTACATACCAGGTTTTATGGGAGACATGACTGACAAGAAACCAGAGTTCTTGAATAAGTTTTGCAAAGAACATGACTTTTCATTCTTAAGGTGAGATGATCTGTTTTTAATAGTATTATGCATATTTTGAACACAGAGTATTTACCTGATGTCTGCCATAATAGTTATGAAAAGCACTAAATTTGTGAGGTTTATCCCTTCTCTGAAGACACTAATAACCCACATATAGCAGAAAGAACTTATAAGAACATGAGAACATAAGAAAGAAGGAACACTGCAACAGGCCTACTGATCCATTCAGAGCAGGTCCATGTCCCCCCCCTCCCCCCAGATTAGACCAATGGCCCACCCAGTCTGGTCATCCCCACTCAGGGATGGAGCACTGTACCAGACCCAGCAGCACAAGCTAGTCAGGTCCAACTCACACCCACCCACACCCACTCATGTATTTATCTAACCTATTTTTAAAACTACACAACGTTTTAGCCTCAATAACTGTACTCGGGAGCTTGTTCCACTCATCCACAACTCTATTACCAAACCAGTGCTTTCCTATAGCCTTCCTGAATCTGAATTCAGTCAGACTTGGGTGTCAGTCAAGTATGTGTAGGACCCAGGACTTCTAACTATATGCTCAGCTTTAAGAAACACTGGGAAAGCTTAACAAAAGTAGTGTTATAGCACATATTTCTTATATGTTAATATTTCACATATTTAAAAAAAAAAAAGCCATATGAAAAGCACAATAAAATTTGAGAGATTATTTATTTTGATTCTATTATTATTATTATAATAAAAAAGAAGCGCTAAGCCACAAGGACTATACAGATTTTGATTCTAAAATAATGGATTTTTATTTAAAATAATTTACTTTTAGTGGCAATTAATAGGTCAGTATAAGATTTCATTTACAGTAATTAAATTTTATTTATAAATTTTGACGTTCACAGTTCATTATATAAGAGATACTCATATCTGTAGTGATGGTGTCTCATCAAAGACCAGTGTACTGTATATTTTTTTTCAGGTATGATCCCACATATGTGGCAAAAAGTGCAGGCAGTGACCCTATAGAATATAAACTGATTATTTCCACTTGGATAGACGATGCTTTGGAGATGTTCAACCTTACAAGGGGCTCGCAGATTATTGTGTCACACTCACTTGGGGGATTGGTAAGTTTTGTATGGTCGACTTCTACAGTACCTGGTCAATGTCTCAAATTCAAATTTCAAGATTTATTCCACCAAAAAAAAAAAAAAAAAAAAAATATGTAAGATTCTAGTATAGGTACCATGGTTGAACCCATTGTATACATGGCATTTGTAGCAAAATGTATCAGTGACTCATGAAATCGTGATGACACGATTGCAACCAAACCATATCCCCGTCCAGGAGTACAGATAGTGCTGTAAGATTTCCTTCATTCTTACAACAAATACCAATAAATTACCAATAAATGTATGTAACATAAATACCAATAAATGTATGTAAAATGGGCTTTAGGAAGGTGAGCTCTTCTTCCCTTGTTGTTAGATTGCAAAAGTGGTTTTAGGAACTAAATATGGGGAAGTGGAACAAAATTCTTCCTCTGTAAGTCATGCGTGTCAAGAGGCAACCGAAATGCTGGGAGCAACGAGCTAGTAACCCTCTTCTGTATAAATTACTAAATTTTAAAAGGGAAACTTTCATTTTTCATTTTAGATCACCCTGCCTTAGTGGGATATGGTCAGTTTGTAAAAAAAAAAAAAAAAAAGTGCAGTGCCTGCACTCTGGAAAAGGGCGGTAATGTTGCAATTTGGAGTCATTTGACAAAATTATGCTATCTGTACACACTTCTGCCATGTCATCTCTTGATTGAATGATGGTGAATGTGTTACCTTTGTTTCTGTCACCCTACATGTGATACACTTTTTGTGAAAAGCCATTAGTGTGCACAGCATTTTGGGTAAAAAAACATTTTTTTTAATACATTGGTTACCTCCCACCAAGGTAAGGGGAGCCAGAAAAAGAAAGCACATTCACCATCATACATTCCTTAGCTCTTTTTCCTTCTGAGTACAGATTTTACAATTCCAGTGACCTCTGTACATAAACTTATGATTTGGTGGAATCAGGGTCAGATCTGTAGTTAATGTGTCAACGATTATTTTCAGATAGCTCTTCATTTAGCATTGAAGCATCCTGAGAGAGTTACTGCTTTGATGTTATTGGGTCCAGTGTACAACTTACATGAAGCAGTGACAACAACCCCCACTGACAGCAAGTTAATGGAAGGGGCATCACAGCACATAGGTTATTTTAATATTTTAAAATTGCTCAGGGATGCAAAGCAGCACAATATTCAACTTGGCAGTAGTCTGATAAACATAAACTGCAGAGTAACCATCATTCATGGAGAAAAAGTAAGTATGAAATATATACAGGAAGGCCTGGTTTGTATGGCTCTTTGGTTCCCGACCCTGTGCAATAAGGAAAAATCGCCAGCAGGTGGAAAAGAACATTTTTTCATTATTGAATGCATCTGAAACACTCAATAATGTATTTACACTATCATACATTAAGTGCTCAATGCAGCTATGCTTAAAAAATATAGATAAAAAACAAAATAAATACAGTAGGACCCCAATATCCATGAGCCAGGTATGTGTGGTTTCAGCTATCCACTGTTTACTGTGGCCAAAAAATAACCGTTAATTTTGCTTAATAATGACCTCAAAGTGTTATAGTAGTGATGGTGGAAGTTCTTCAAAGTTCAAGCGAAGCCATGAAGTTCTTCCCATCAGTGAAAAAGTGATAATTCTCCATTTATTGTGCATGATTTATCAATTACACTTTATAATAGGTATGTGTAGGACTTATATACAGGGTTTGGTACATTCCACAGTTTAAGTATCTGCGGCAGGTCCTTGGAACACATCCCCCATGGAAATGGGGACCTACTGTACATAGTACACACAATACTTACCTTAAAATATGGTGCTGAAAATGGGGGATAAGTGGTAAAAACACCGAACATAATGAACAGTGGCTGAGTTGAAAGTTAACAAAAACATGGAATAGTGATAAAGAAGGTGATGAACGTGCTGGGCACTCCAGTATAAGATTATAATTTGGCAGTAAGAAAATAAATCTTTAATAATTTTCACACTAACCCCCAATTTTAAGGAAAAATTTAAGATAACATTTCAGTCCCTCGTGGCCCATTATCAAACCAAAAGTGTCAAATTGTACATTACTTGTTAATTGTTTCATCCATGTTACCATAACTTGTGTGCTTCTGTATATATTGGAGGTGGACTTGGACTCAGGGTACCTAGGAAGTCCATGGCTTGTGTATGCTCTAAACATTTAACCCGTAAATGGTCCAAACGTATATACAGTGGACCCCCGGTTAACGAACTTTTTTCATTCCAGTAGTATGTTCAGGTGCCAGTACTGACCGAATTTTTTCCCATAAGGAATATTGTGAAGTAGATTAGTCCATTTCAGACCCCCAAACACACGTACAAACGCACTTACATAAATACACTTACATAATTGGTCGCATTTGGAGGTGATCGTTAAGCGGGGGTCCACTGTATACATTTTTTCAACATTTGGAAGTATGTAAAAAAAGTAGATCTTCTTTTTTGTTTTTTTACATTTGAAAATGTGTAAAAAAACTTTGATCTACTTTTTTTTTGTTATATTTGAAAATATGTAAAAAAACGTAGATCTACTTTTGTAGCACTACACATGTGAACGTAGATCTGCTTGGACCGTTTACGGGTTAAAATGAGTTTTTGCAAGGGTATACTAAACTATATCAATTTTGACTGGCAGGCACATAGTGTTCTTCAAATTTATTATTCTTCAGGTGAAGACTAAAACATTGAGGAAAGGAAGAATCTTTATTTATGGAAGGTATTTTACATTTATTCATGTAGGAAAAGCTACATACACTGGATTATTATTATTATAATAAAAAAGAAGCACTAAACTGCAAGGGTACGTACACTGGAAAGATGATAATTACGCACATTTCAAGAAGAACCTGTGCATAATTGCATATTGTTTCTCGCAGAACTATAGTTAAAACTAGTATTGGGTCATCCTAAAAGTAGCAGGCCAGTGTTCTAACCAATAGACCATATATATTAACTTGATAAGATTTTTCGATGCCCGAAATACTGTGCAGGCTGTGGGCTTGTTGCAAAATCTGTATCACTAGTACACTTTTTATGTGAATAAAAAAATTATTATTGTTGCAACAAGATACCTATATAGCTAATTGGATGAATATTATAAGAAGGTTGGTAGCCAAGAACAACCTGGGGGAGGGTACTACCATCCTGGAAATATAAACACATGTGCAGTATAATGTGATCCTTTATTGACAAAGTTTTGCCCACACAGTGGGCTTTTTCAAGTCACAAACAGATCTACCTGGGGTGGAAGGTACGCGAGTATTTATAGTCAGGTTCAGAATGCTGAGATCGGGTGGAGAATGCTGCATCTGATGATGTACCGAGTGGGGTTATAGAGTCTAAAACTACCATCCTGCCAGATGAGTGTACAATGGTAGGATTGCTGTTGTTTTCTTCATTCTGTCTCATAAACATGCAAGATGACAGGTATATATTCTTATGTCTACTTACATCAAGCTTATACTACACATGCAGTTGTGCAAGTGTAGTGCAGTTGTACATGTGTAATGCAGTTGTGCGTGTGTAGTTTTTTTTTAAAATGTCAGCCAGCCGTCTCCCACTGAGGTAGGGTGATCCAATAAAGAAACGCTTTCAGCATCATTCAACACTCATCATCATTCACACATAATCACTGTCTTTGCAAAGGCTCCCAGATACAGCAGTTCAGATGTTACTCCAAACAGCAAATATCCCAAACCCCTCCTTTAAAGTGCAGGCATTGTACTTCCCACCTCCAGGACTCAAGTCCAGCTAACTGGTTTCCCTGAATCCCTTCACAAAATATTACTCTGTTCACACTTCAACAGCTTGTCAAGTCCCAAAAACCATTTATCTCGATTCACTCCTATCTAACACGCTCACATGCCTGCTGTATGTCCAAGCCCCTTGTGCACAAAACCTCTTTTATCCCTCCCTCCATCCTTTCTAGGACAACCCCTAACCCTCCTCTCCTCCAATACAGATTTAAAACCCTCCAAGTAATCCTATTTTGCTCCATCGTCTCTAAATGACCAAACCGCCTCAACAACCCCTCCTCAGCCCTCTGAATAATACTTCTAGTAACTCCACACCTCCTAATTTTCACATTACGAATTCTCTGCATAATACTTATACCACACATTTCCTTTAGACACGACATTTCCACTGCCTTCAGCCTCCTCCTTGCTGCAGCCTATACAACCCATGCTTCACACCCATATAATAGTGTTGGTACCATTATACTCTCATACATTCTCTTCTTTGCCTCCATGGATAGCGTTCTTTGTCTCCACATATCCCTCAGTGCACCACCCACCCTTTTCCCTTCATCAATTCTATGGTTTACCTCATCCTTCATAAACACATTTGTTGACAAGTCAACTCCCAAATATCCAAACACATTCACTTCTTCCATACTCCCTCCCTCCAATGTGATATCCAATTTTTCTTTACCTAACTCATATGATACACTTGATCTACACATCCCCTACCCATTCTAGAGCCTCCTTGTTCATTTGCAGTCCTGCTCTCTAATTCTTTCAATAATAACCCTACCATATACTTTACCTGGTACACTCAGTAGGCTTATTCCACTATAATTTTTACACTCTTTTTGTCCCCCATCCCTTTATATAAATGAATTATGCATGCTGTCTGACACTCCCTTGGTACCTTCCCGTCTTTCATACATTAATTGAACAAAAGTGTTGAGCTCTTCAAAACTATATTCCCACCTGCTTTACTGCCTTTCATTCTACCCACTGCCTCATACACCTCCACCACACTGGCATCTTACATATTCATGAGACAGAAAGGAAAGACCAACAGTCCTGCCTGGTCATTATGTAAAGTGCACAAATGATCTGAGTGATATTACATAGATTAGCAACTCAGTTACAAGTCTGTTAAGTGTTAAATTGACCGTTAAACTTGTCTATCAACCATTAGACTTTGTCTGCCGATATTTCTTAACTTCAAGGGAAATGCCTTAATGCTGGTGAAAGGGCTTTTAATTCAAGGAAATGGAGCTACCCTTTTCTTGGATTAAAACAGATTGCCTACCCTTCCCCAGGTGCTGCATGACCCCTACATGCTGGGCACTTCCCATAAATATACTTATTACATTATCTTTTATTTCAGGATGAGATCCCGTATGAATTTTCTGAAAAGTTATTCAAGGCATTAGCATCCACCGAGAAGACTTTAACATTAATTGAATCTGGAAGTCATTTTCTTGAAGATGACTATTGTCTTGAGGCAATAAAAGTTGCTCTCTTAGACCTGGCTCAGATTCATGGAAAATCTTCATAAAAGCAGCTTTCTTCTCTACTTAATTTTTCTCTTCCTGGCCCTAGTGTAGCTTTTTTTTTATGTAATGCAAAGGTATTTAATGAGACACCTGTTTATGATTACTACTAAATGTAAAAAAATATCCTTAAGGATTAGGAAATTTGAGCTATGATTGTGCAATGAATAACTTTGTAAATACTTTAGATCATTGCTTACCCAGTGACTGGTTACTTGGCTGCTGCCGTCATCTTGTGGTCATTTTATCTGGCACACAAACAAACACAGAAAAGGAAAATGCATAACGAATGGACCATTAATTCCAAGACCATTTCCCAGTGGTCCTGGAATTAATGATCTACTGTATTATGTATATTGGTGTACTGTAGTACAGTATTGTAGCATTAGCAGAACTAGGAATATTGTATAAAAAAGACTGCAATGCATGGGGAACTTTTATTCAGGAAATGGGTTGTTTGCCAGGAACTTGTCAGGCCGAGGCAGCTCATGGTTAGTGCAAAGTTTCCTGAGTAAAAGTTCCCATATGTTGCACGTGTATGTATTTTCTTTGAACTTTTTGTCGGTATTAGTCACACTGGAAACAGTGTTTGGAAGTAGATCTTTTTTTTCTGCTACATTGCATTATTAATGATAACCTAAATTCATTGAAAGATTAGGGTTTAAGATGGATATAAAAAGAGCTGTTTCTTACCTTATTTTGCCCGATATTGCTCAGTTTTTGGGAGAGCTGTGTCACTGTGGCATTTCTTCTGGACCTGGTTGGAGCTTGAACAATCACCAAATTTCCCATCTTGAGTCCTGGTGTGTCCTGTCTGACATTTCCACTCCTGAATTTAATAAGTATTATAGGCTTAGGATATCTTCCATAAGGATATTATTTTAACGTTTAATGAGCTTCATTCAGCACTCGGTACATAGTTATGACTGCCTTGCTAATAGTTTAGTCTAAACAAATACGTCTACTCCAATTTCAGGTAGACGGCTAAATGTTCTTCATATTTATTTGCCAGTATCATGATATTCATTGTGCAAATTACCTTTAATGGATACTATGGGGGCCAGAAAAGATACTGTACTTGAATATTATTGTTGGTTTGCTAAATTGCTTTATAAAACTGAAAAGATTATGTTGACCTTTTGTTCCAAGGAAAAGCTTTATTTACCAAGTACAATACTTTTGAATAACCCTTTGGGGGTTTCGGACGTACTAGTACGTCTTACGACCCAGGGTTTTTGACATACTAGTACGCCTAAATTCTAGCGCCCTCAAATCTAGTGAGAAAGCTGGTAGGCCTACATATGAAAGAATGGGTCTATGTGGTCAGTGTGCACAGTATTTAGGCGTACTAGTACGTCAAAAACCCTGGGGCATAAGCCGTACTAGTACGGCCGAAACCCTGAAAGGGTTAATGCTGAGAAGACTACATTATAGAGCTGGTACAGTAATTTTTTGTTTCAAGGGAAAACTTTATTTACCAGGCATTGTATAAGCAAGTTCTCAAGATGTTAATGGTATGCAACTAACTTTATTATCTTGGCTACACTGGTTCATTCATTTGTTTCATTACAGTAGTGAATGTGATTTTTCTAATGCATAAAAGGAAAGGAATAATTATTAAAATATTATCTTTTTGAAATATGGTAATCAGATGGATATTAACCTGAAGGGGAATATTAAAACATAACATGAGAAAGAAGGAGCACTGCACCAGTCCTACTGGCTCATGCTAAGTGAGTCCAACACTGTAATGGAAGCAGGGCTATATATATTTCTCCATTTGGTTTTCATGAAGTGTAACTAAATATATATTAGTTACATTATCTTTCAACACCCACATGAGGGGAGCAGAAGAGCCTCGTGCCCCTCCCCACCCCTCACACCTCTTGAGTCTAAGACTGAGGGTAACATTCGTTTAGTTGTATTCGGAAGAAGTTGAATGACAAAGTAAATTCAACTCTCATCCCAAGATTTTTTTTTTTTTTTTTTTCAACAAGTCGGCCGTCTCCCACCGAGGCAGGGTGACCCAAAAAAGAAAGAAAATCCCCAAAAAGAAAATACTTTCATCATCATTCAACACTTTCACCACACTCACACATTATCACTGCTTTTGCAGAGGTGCTCAGAACACAACAGTTTAGAAGCATATATGTATAAAGATACACAACATATCCCTCCAAACTGCTAATATCATCCCAAGATATTAGTGTTAATTTCTTGAATTTGTTGACTTCACATAGTCACCTGTTACTTAGCAAGAAAAATTTGTGTTAAATTGATTTAAGATGCTGGCTTACTATATTATTTGCCTTAGTACTGTATATGATAATATAGCCATCAAACTCACTCATTTAACTCCTTATTACCCAGGAGATGCAATCAATAAGACAGATTTTAAGTGTACAGCTTTTTAATGTATGCAAGTATATATCTGAAAGGAGTATACCATAGTGTACCAGGATTTGTGGGGATACACTCATTTTTTGCATTAAGTAGATACTCAGTTTGTCTGTCTATACAGTTACACCTTAAAGTATGGCGAGTCATTTGTTTTGAAGTACGAAAGCTTGATTTCTTACAAGCAAATCTTCAACTTTTTCATTATGAAACTTACATCTGCTGCTAGAGAACAGCAAGTTCATCTGTACCTGATATACATTATTTGCAGTTGGTTTGTCTCCCTGTGAAACTAACACTAAACAACAATAATCCCATTGGACATGATATGCATTATTCAGATTTTTTTTTTATTTTCTTGGTTTTAATGTAGAGGACAGCGTATACTCTAAACCAAATTTATGTTTACGTAGACAACTGATTCATATAACTGCCCCCACTCAGTAAAGAGAGTACTATCAGTAGATATTTTTTCTTTTTGGGTCATCCTGCCTTGGTGGGAAATGGCCGATGTGTTTAAAAAAAAAAATGATTTCTGTGGGCATGGTGAGTAGTTATGAAGATATTACTTTGAGATCACTTGTAGTGTGATTATAAGACAGGATTAAACGTATTTCTTGATTATCCCTTCATTTTAAAGAAATTTAGGGTACTGTATGAGTATAACTACAGCAGAGTGGCAGTTTACAACACTACGTTGAGTCTCTCTATAGGTTTGTACAGTGGCAAAAGATAAAAATATATCATACTTTTATTACATTGGTTTCTTCATGTTATCTAAGGTTCCTCTAATTCAAAACTAGACCACAATTTTTTAGAGAGAACTAGACAACTTGTCAGTTGGTCCTGTAACATTAATAAGTCATGGCTGAGAAGTTTAAAAATTCTTTCTCCAAACTGTGGTTAAGTTGTCAATTGTTCTAGCAGCTCTATTGTCACTTTTATTCTCGGAAATTTCTATAATTAGCTACATATGCATTAAAAATATAACCCACTCTACTTGGAAAAGATACATATACATGTAATACTTAGTTTTAAAATTCACACATATGGCATGTATAAAGTCTGTAATGTACATTTGGCTCCTGTAACACTGCATATTATTTGTATTGATAAAATACATATAAAAAGTTAAAATGTTGTAATGTTTTTTTATGAAGCACCAAATGAAGTGTTTACTTATAATATATTTCATATTTCTCATAAGTGTAAGTAACTATTTACTTTTGTAAGAAGTGAGCTTTTCAGCAGCTAAAAAAGCTGTTTGAGTCTGGTTTCATTGTGTCGTTGTTTGGTTTGTCATACTTCTTTACCAATCTTATGTTCAGGAAATGTTTTTTGGATATCCCTGTGTTTATTTGGGGTTTGCAATTTTCAATCATGCCCTCTTGTTTTTTTGTTTCAGATTTGGTAAAGATTCTATCCTTGTTTACCATGTCCATGCTTTCAAGTATTTTGTATGTCATGATCATATCCCCTCTACTTGGTTCCTTTGGTAATGCAATCACCTGGTTTATAAGTGAAGTAAGGTATTCCTGACAGTCAGTTCATTTTTCACAGTAGAGAATAAATAGGTATATGAAGTTTAAGGAAGTGCACAACAAACTCAGTTTGCTGTTAGTGGGTAAATGACTGAAGGATCAACCTCTGCTTATACTGTACTTACTTTTATTATTATATTTACAAAACATGTGCTAAACCCTTAGGGGGGGTCATACAGAACCACAAGGTGAAGTAAGCATTTTTAGATGAGCAGCTGATATGCATAATAATTTAATGATAGCTAAAGAAACAATAATAGGAACATGGATTACAATGACAATTATGAATACTTGGATGGTTGGTGAGAGATGTGAGGAACTGTTGGATGGTTAGAGATGTGAGGGATTGTTGGATGGTTAGTGAGAGACACGAGGAACTGTTGGATGGTTAGTGAGAGACGTGAGGGACTGTTGGACGGTTAGTGAGAGACACGAGGAACTGTTGGATGGTTAGAGATGTGAGGGATTGTTGGATGGTTAGTGAGATACAAGGAACTGTTGGATGGTTAGTGAGAGATGTGAGGGACTGTTGGATGGTTAGTGAGAGACACGAGGAACTGTTGGAAGAACAGTTGGCTGAGCGATGAGAAGCAAATTGTGGATTTAAAAGTACATAGTATACACAGGTGTGTATATTTTGATGTATATATGCTGAGAGTTTAAGTTAATCCCTATTTTAAGGAATAAATTATTCTTAAATGGTGGTGCACAGGTGGCAAGAAGCCTTAATGACACTTGTGTAGTCTTTTTTTTTTTTTTTTTTTTTTTGTCAACAAGTTGGTCGTCTCCCACCGAGGCAGGGTGACCCAAAAAAGAAAGAAAATCCCCAAAAAGAAAATACTTTCATCATCATTCAACACTTTCACCACACTCACACATTATCACTGCTTTTGCAGAGGTGTTCAGAATACAACAGTTTAGAAGCATATACGTATAAAGATACACAACATATCCCTCCAAACTGCCAATATCCCAAACCCCTCCTTTAAAGTGCAGGCATTGTACTTCCCATTTCCAGGACTCAAGTCCGACTATATGAAAATAACCGGTTTCCCTGAATCCCTTCACTAAATATTACCCTGCTCACACTCCAACAGATCGTCAGGTCCCAAGTATCATTCGTCTCCATTCACTCCTATCTAACACGCTCGTGCACGCTTGCTGGAAGTCCAAGCCCCTCGCCCACAAAACCTCCTTTACCCCTCTTTCCAACCCTTTCGAGGACGACCCCTACCCCTCTTTCCTTCCCCTATAGATTTATATGCTTTCCATGCCATTCTACTTTGATCCATTCTCTCTAAATGACCAAACCACCTCAACAACCCCTCTTCTGCCCTCTGACTAATGCTTTTATTAACTCCACACCTTCTCCTAATTTCCACACTCCGAATTTTCTGCATAATATTTACACCACACATTGCCCTTAGACAGGACATCTCCACTGCCTCCAACCGTCTCCTCGCTGCTGCATTTACCACCCAAGCTTCACACCCATATAAGAGTGTTGGTACTACTATACTTTCATACATTCCCTTCTTTGCCTCCATAGATAACGTTTTTTGACTCCACATATACCTCAACGCACCACTCACCTTTTTTCCCTCATCAATTCTATGATTAACCTCATCCTTCATAAATCTATCTGCCGACACGTCAACTCCCAAGTATCTGAAAACATTCACTTCTTCCATACTCCTCCTCCCCAATTTGATATCCAATTTTTCTTTATCTAAATCATTTGATACCCTCATCACCTTACTCTTTTCTATGTTCACTTTCAACTTTCTACCTTTACACACATTCTCAAACTCATCCACTAACCTTTGCAATTTTTCTTTAGAATCTCCCATAAGCACAGTATCATCAGCAAAAAGTAACTGTGTCAATTCCC